GTTGTCAAGGGAATGGGTTGTGGATTCTTCCTGCCTTGTGGGAGCGATGTGAGCCTTTGGAATATGTGTAGTCCTGCTCTCAGGTGTTGGGAGTGTGGGCAGCAGTGCTGGTAGGGAAGGAGGCTGCTCCTAAAACGAGACCTGCAGTTCCCTCAGGCTCACCTTGCATGGAGCAGGTGTATTCCCAAGCTGAGTAGCCTGGAGAAGAGGAGACTGAGGGGAGACTTCGTGGCAGTTACAAATTCCTCAGGAGAGGAAGAAGAGGGGCAGGCACTGATCTCTGCTCTGTGATGACCAAGGACAGGACCCCAGGGAATGGCCTGGAGTTGTGTCAAGGCAGGTTTAGGTTGGATATTAGGAAAAGGTTCTTCCCCCAGAGGGTGGTTGGGCACTGAACAGGCTCCCCAGGGTAGTGGGCACAGCACCAAGGCTGCCAGAGCTCAAGGAGCATTTGGATGATCCTCTGGGACACAGGGTGGGACTCTGGGGATGGTCCTACACAGGGCTGAGGGTTGGACTCCATGATCCCTGTGGATCCCTTCCAACTGGGCATATTCTGTGATTCTGTGAAGCAGCGAGGGAGAGAGTTGGATGAGGCAGTTGAGAGATTAATTTGTCAAACATGATTGTAGGGGGAGAATCTGGAAAGGTTGACCCCAAAGTGAAACTGGGAGTGCTGGGACAGGTCTGCTTTGGAAACCACCCCTGCTATGCTCTAGAACTCATTGGAGGCCAGTGCAGAGGGAGCTGAGCCCCCAGCCTGGCAGGAGTGCAGCTGGTTCCATTCACTTCCCAGCTGTGCGCTCTGGTTGTCACCGGTTTCCTGGTGCTTCCCAGCTGAGTGGAGCTCACTGGAGTGCAGTGCTGGGAAACTGTGGATGAAGGGCTGGACTTTTGTGGCCAGGCCACCTCAACAACACTAGGGGCTCTGTCTGTTCTGGGCCGTGATGGGGAGCAAGGGAAGGGGCTGAATCTCCTTTAAGTGCCACCTGAGTGACTCTATTTCTGTCCCCAGAGAGGAAGAGGTTCTACCAGAACGTGAGCATCTCGCAAGGAGAAGGTGAGTAGGGCCACAGGATGGTCCCTGGGAGGGATATCATCACCCCACACCACGTCAGCCTGGGTCCCACAGTCCAGGCTGTGGGAGGGGGGTGTTTGTCACCAGCTGCTCTGCCCCTTCCTCATCTATGGCGAAGCTGCGTGGTGGGAAACAGCTTCCAAGTGGTGGTGGGAAACTTGAGTATTCCTGGTCCCTCATTCCCCCAGCTCCAGCTCTGACTCTGCTCCTGCTGTGGGGTTGTCTGTTGTTCCTTAGTGCCTGCTCCTCTTTGATTCCCCAGGATTTCTACTCTGATTCCCCAGGAGGCTTTGAAATAAACCTGGACCACCGAAAGCTGAAAACGCCCCAGGCCAAGCTCTTCACTGTCCCCAGCGAGGCCTTGGCCATTGCAGTGGCAACAGAGTGGGATTCCCAGAAAGACACCATCAAGTTCTACACAATGCACCTGGTGAGCACAGCAGGGTGGGATGCTGAGACCTCCAAACGGTCTCCAGATGCAGGATGTGGAGGGAGCAGGTTGTCCTGCTCCTAATGACTGGATGTGGCATTCAGTGCTGTGATGTAGTTGACAAGGTGGTGATTGGTCAAAGGTTGGATTTGATGATCTTGGAGCTCTTTTCCAACCTAAGAGATTCTTTGATTCTGTCCTGATGCCCATGGAAACAGGGACAAGAGGTCAGGACTTTCTCTGGGCACCCTGCAATTGTGAGGGTGATTAGATCATGGCTAGGTGCTTGTCTAGGGGGAATCTCTGCCACTGTGGGGCCTTGAGAAGGGGCTGGACAGTGTTATTGGGAATAGTGAGGGACAGGAGGAAATGATGAGCTCTGGAGCAGTCCATGAGCCCTCTTCCCTGCTGCTTAATGGGCTACTCCCAAGGGTTCTGAAAGATTTGGAGAAGATTCCTATTACACGAGCCACGTTCTGGCCCTGCACTCCCTTTTAGCTGCCCCCCCTCGGTTCTCCATGTGCCATGAATTCCTCTGCTTCTTCTTGACATTGTACCATGGAAGCTGCTGCCTCTCCAAGCCTTGAATAACAGCAGTTTAAACTGCCTTTATCCCCAGACCACTCTGTGCAACACGGCGCTGGACAATCCCACGCAGCGAAACAAAACGCAGCTGATCCGAGCGGCTGTGAAGTTCCTGGAGACAGACACTCTCTGGTACGAGGTGGAGGCCCAGCTGGATTTTGGGAAGGTGGTTGGGGAAAGTGAGGGCAAATGTCTGCTGTAACCTGGTCATGGCAGGGTTCTGATCTGTGCTGGTTTGGGCCTGAGGGTTTGAATTAGTTTAGACCAGTCCTACGTACTCCTGTGCCAGTACAGACACCTCAGACTTCTTGTACCAGTAGGAAAAGGCCCTTCATTCCTTAAAGTCCTTGTGGGCTGCAGGACCAAGCCTGTTCATGCCCAAGCTCCTGTCTCACAGTCCCAGACTCCACTGGCAGCTGCACAGCTCCTGGAGGGAGAGTGAGACAGGCCCCTGGCCCTCCCCCATGGCTTTGGTCAGACTGGGAGCAGGGAATGCTGAACTGAGCTGCTGGGCAAGGAGAGGCATGAGTGGCTCCACACAGAGTTCCAGTGGGATTTGTCCCCTCCTCTAACTGCTAAACCTCACTGCATCTTGTGGCTTGAGGGCTACCTGCAATTTTCAGTTGGCCAGTTCATTGCTCTGTTTTGTAGTAAGAAAGAATTGTCCTTCCTGGAACAACAAAAAGCTCCAAATTTAGGGAAGAGTGGGGGGATTGTTTCCAGTCACTGCTACCTGGGTGGACAGCAGGCCCTTGCTGCTCTTGCTGTGGTCTGGTGGGGTCAGTGTCCTTCCCAGAGGAGTGTCCCAGACTGGGAGTGACCATCCAGTGTGGTTTTGTCCCAGCTATCGTGTGGAGGAGCCTCCAGCCTTGGCAGAGCTGCAAAAGAATGAATGGGATCCAGTGGTTGACTGGGCTGAGAAAAGGTAAGAGCTCAAAGGTGGTTTTGTCTGATTATGCCCTGCCTTGCTGAGCCCAGGAGCTCTGGTGCTTGTGGCTGCCAGAGCCACAGCTCCACGAGCCCTGGCGTTTTCCAAGGGCTTGGGTGTCATTCCAGGTACAATGTGACAATTGGCTCCTCGACCAGCATCCTGGGGCCCAACATCCCAGCCAGCACCAAGGAGACCTTCATCAGCCATCTGGCATCCTACAACATGTGGGCCCTGCAAGGTGAGCGAGGCTGGGCCGGGAGCTGTCGGCTCAGCCTGGGCCACTGAGGAGGTGGTTTCTCTCCACAGGGCAGGGAGTGTCCATAATGTTTTTCTTCTCCTGCTTAGAGTGTTGAGGTTTATGTTTTAAATCTGCAGGCCAGGCCCTGAGCTGTGTTTGTCATGGGCAGGGAGTCTCCCCAGTGCCACTGTTGTTCAGGGTCTGACCGTGCTGTCCCATAAGCTGGTTGCTCCCTTAGCACAAATAACTTCTTTAATGCCAAACCTTTTAATTATTTAATCCTCAGCTTTGTTACCAGGAAAAGAAATGGGGCTTAGTACTCCAAAGTGCCCACACTGTGCACTGTCCTCACTTTTTCATCCTTATAACCCACTTGTTCTTGCCTGAACCTGCTGAATGACACCTAAAAGATAAAGAAATGAAGTGACATTTGCTCTACTCAGGACCTGAATGAGCAGCAGGCAGTGAAACCCACAAAAGACACAGAATGCTCAGGCCTGGATGGGTATCTCTTCCCTTTGCACAGGGAGGAGGGATTGTAGCAGACTAAAAGGAGGTGGAGTCCAGGGCATGGCCTTTGTCACTGGTGGCAGGGCCAGCACAGTGCTCTGTGCCTGCTGTTAAACAACAGATCTGAGTGTCCAGGTGCAGGTGGGAGGATCACTGGCCCTCCCTGAGGGGTTATCACACCCTCCCTGCCTCTTCAGAGTGTGTGAAGATGGTGCTGTAAAGCTGTAGAAAACAGCCATGAATCCTGTTTGTTTTGGGTTATTCCCTTCCAGGTATAGAATTTGTAATCACCCAGCTGAAATCGCTGATCCTGTCCATGGGCCTGATTGACAGGCACATTACAGTAGAGAAAGCTGTGCTTCTGTCTCGCCTGGAGGAAGAATACCAGGTAAATTATGTTACAAAACAGCCCTATAATTCAAATAGCAATAATCTCAGCATGACAAATGCATCCCCCACCACAAATAACTGCCAAGGGAAGTGCCTGCTATAGCAGGAGACGTTCCACTCCACCAGTCTCCACGTCTGAGAGCGTTTGGAGTGTACTGCTGCAGAGCAACACCATGGGCACAACAGCCCAGAGTGCTCCCAGGGCTGCCAGTTTCTTTTCACAGAACCCAGATGGCTGCTTTTCTCCTTCTCTAATCTGAAGTGCAAAGTTGTGGCTGGCTTCTCTTTCTGTGGGTTATCCAACCTGGAGGCCTTGGTAGATGCCAAGCTACCAAGCTTGCTGGAAATTAGCCTGGTGTGAAGCTTTCCCTTCCCCAAAAGTGGCTGAAGTTGGGAATCTTTTCATCGTCCTTTTAAGGGGCTTTGCCTCAGACCCCAGTACAGATGGAGCATGTCCTCATCTGGAGATGTCCTTAACCCAGCAGTCAATGATCAGAACATTTCTGGGGGGTTACCTGTGCTTGACACAGGCTGAAAGTTGCTGAGCAGCTCTGAGTATAGTCCATGTTCCTCCTCTCCTTCAGATTCGGCGCTGGGGCAAGGTGGAGTGGGCCCACGACTACGACCTGTGCGAGCTCCGTGCCCGCACGGCAGCTGGGACTCTCTTTGTTCACCTCTGTTCAGAGAGCTCGACTGTAAAACACAAGCTGTTGCAGGACTGAGGCAGCTGGGCTGGGCACAGGGGAAAATTCCCACCTGGGAATTGCTGGCCTGACCCAGTGGATGGTAGGCCAGCACTCCTGCCATCCTGTTTTCCCTGGGATCAGCCTCACATGCTATGATTTTGTGGGCAATTCCTCACTCGGCCTGCCTGCTGCAGTGCAGTGCCAGCAGTTTGAGCCCACAAGGAGGAAAGGTCAAGGTGAGCTTCCCCAGGGCAGCAGTTCCATCCATTCCTGGCGTCTGTAACTCATCTGAGGAGCTCCTGTGGAAGAAACAGCTTCCTGGGCAGGGCACGGCACAGACATACCCAGCATATGCCACATGTCTTCATAGCTGCCAGCTCCTGACACACACTTGTTATGGAAATCTGAAAACAGACTCCACTGCATCTGTTGTTCATCCCTCGGCGTGCCTGCCTGTAACACCAGGGTCTCTGTGTTCCATTAAAGGCTCGCCCCTGCGAGGTACCAAAAGCTGTGTGTTTCTTTGTTTAAATCACCAAACCATGGGGTGGGTCCTGAGCTGCCTGACTCTGGGCAGGTGTTGGGATAGCTCCAGGCATTTAAAATCATGGAGCGGAGCACACACTTAGCTACTGTGCCAGCCTCTCCATGCAGCTGAGGAGATAGCAAGGAAACAACTGTGCAGTCCTGGAGCAAGAGGAGGGCAACCTGGGCTCCAGCCATTTTCAGAAGCACGGAGCAGGATGAAATAAATCAGTGTTTGACAGGCAGCACCAGCCACGGGGTTTTCTGAGAGACCCGCTCCCTCCCTGGTGTGCATAGGCAGCCACCCTCTCGTTTAACCTTCCCACCTTCTCCTTGCTGCCTGCCTGGAGCAGCGCCGCCCCGGCCAGCACCGTTCCTCAGAAGCTGTCCAGAAGCGAGCGTGGCAGCGGCTGTCATCGAGCAAGGAGGGGAATTAATGACTCCTCGCTTGGCTGTCGCGAGCGGCGGCGCGTGAGCTCCTGTGGAACCATTGATTTCCCTTCCTGCTGGCTGGGGGCTGCTCTGCTCACGCTGCAGAAAAGCCGCTTGCGAGAGGCGGTGGGAAGATGAGGCTCCCAGGCATGCGGAGCCCCCGCCAGCCTTGTGCCTGCTGAGCTGGAAACCTGCTGTTATCTCGGGGGTGGTTTGATGGAGAGCGCTCCTCTCCTGAGCTGCTGCCTCGTGCCTGCGGCTCACAGGTTCCTGCCACTGTGCTTGCAGGTACCGAAGCTTTCAGGCATGATATGCTACGATGATTTGGTTCAATCAGCTCACAGCTGATCCATAACCCCCTGTGACCAGGTCTGAGCTGCCTGCACGGGCTTCGTGCCAACATGATGGAAGAGACAGAGCTTCGGATGCTTTTCCAGAGTCAAGAAGTAGCTTTTATTTGCGGTTTATGGTGGGGTGGAAGAAACGTGCTTTTGGTTGGAAACGTCCCAGGCAGCTCGGGCATAGAGGCAGCTGTTCCTGCTGGGGGCTGTCCTGTGTGCCCCCAGCTGAGGCAGCTGCCCAGCCCTATTCCACAGGCTCCTAGATCTTTGTGTTATCCAGCTCCTTCTGGAGAGTGTTGATGTAGGACATGATCCTTTTGATACAGGCGCGGTTTCTGTCGCTCTCAGTTTGGAAAGCCTGGACAGATTGAAACCGAGCAGTGAATCTGCAGGTGTGTCAGGGTCCCTTCCCGGGGTCCCTGGAGCACAGAGAGCTCCAGCAAAGGTCCGGGAGGGTCTCTCCTCGCAGTGGCCCTGCCACCTGGGCCAGAGCTGTCTGTGCCCTGTCCCCCTGAGCACAAGGGTCTCTTACCTTCTCTGTCACGGAGATGTGCCAGTGGTAGGTGTTGCAGAGCATGTCGCTCTCCCGCTTATCAATCTTCCGCAGGCGGATGCTGTGGGACATGTTGACGGCGTTGACAATGGTGTTTTTGTCCACGAGGAGCTGGGAGGTAACGTGACCGGATGAGGGGAGGGGGTGGGCACACAATGAAAGCAGCAGAGCTCGGAGGGAGCAGAACAGCAACTGCAGTGCTCCAGGGGAGAAATCACCCCTCTGTTTGAACTGGTATATCTCTAGTCATGGGGATGAATCCAATGTTTTACCCTTGGCCTTACTACGGTGTAATGGAGCTTTATCCCTAGTGCAGGTTGGGAAACTGAGGAAGCAACCTTGGTTTCACATGCTGGGAACTATGTGCAGGCAGGGCTCCTGTGCAGCTGGTGCTGAAGCATGGCTGCATATGCTCCAGCATCCCTGGAAATGGAAAATCACACTTGGAAGGGTCTCCTGCACTGGTGGCACTGGCTGTAAATTTTCATTTTTGGAGAGTCCCAGCTTCTAATGGAAGCAGTGACTTCCCCCGTGGCTCTAAATAGAGGGTGGCTTTGCTAACCCGTAATGACTCTTCTGCAGCCAAGTGCAGCTGTTGGACAAATGGAGATTGCTTCTCCCTGGAAATGGATGGCAGTGAGGCAAAATGGGTGCGTGGCAGCGGAGCAGAACCACCACCATCTGCACGGCCAATAAAGCAAGGAGCTCCCCCTGGGGCTCAGGGGTCTGGTTTGTGTCTGTCAGCTCTTGATTACCTGGAGTTACGGAAGGCTGGGATAATCTGGACAGAGCAAAACCACAGCTAATGCAAACTCAAGTAATTGAGACACTAAACGAAGGAATAACAAAGGCAAAAAGGGCAGCAGGAGCACTGCAACAATCCCCGTGGTTTTGGGAAGGCTCCTGGGATCTTTGCTCTCACAGCAAGACTGAGGGGCCGGTGGAAGGCTCCATTTGAAATGTCACGTCCTGCCTCCAGGTCAGCTCGAGGGCTGGGGGATCTCCAAGAAGGGCTTTTGAAATCACTGAGGCAAACAGAGCCCCGGTGCATGAAATTCAGAGCACTGTTGAGATTCTGCTGTGGGAGCAGGGAGAGTCTGAACAAAACCAGCTGCGAGTGAATGCTGCAAAGATGCTGCCTGAGTGCCTGGAAATCAGCCAGAGCACTGAGTTGTGCTGGAGGCAGCAGAGATACTTCTTCAGCATCCCTCCTGAGCTGCTGCCACCAGCTCTGGCAGCACCCAGGGAAACGTGCAGTGCAGTTATCCCCTCTCCTAGTCAGTGGAGATGTCCAGAGCCAAGTGGGGCCTCTAAGAAGGAGGTTATGCTCTGGTTCAGGGATGGCTCTGGCAGCACTGAGTCTCCTGGAAATCCTGTCCCTTCAGAGAAGAGGCTGTGGCCTCCTTTGTTTGCTGACTCCCTACCAGAGATGGATTTTTTTGGTGCCCTCACCGTTTGAACATCAGCTGGCAAATCCTCCTCAAGCTTGCCCTTGAGTGATTTCTCCAATGTGGTGAGGGCAACCTCCATCAGCTTTTCATGGTGCTGGTTTTCCAGGTCCCGGCACTGGCCCATCGTACAGAAGATGTCAAGGAAAACGTTGACCACACCCCTCACCAGTGGAGATTAAACAACTTCCTGTAACTGGGACTAAGTGTCCATGGTGGCTTTTGCAGGAAGGAGCCTGGCTGCCCCCAGAAGCTGCTGTGGTGGAGGGTATCTACTTTCAGCTCTTAATCACACATTGGGCCTCATCTCACTGCTAAAAATGAGACAGAACTGAGAGAGGACCCAACTTTGCAAGGGAAATCAGAGCAGGCCTCCAGGTAAAAGCTGAGCTCTGAATGCAGTGCAATTATTTGCACCAGGCCAACAGATTTCTAGATTTAAAGCAGCGTAACCTGTCACTGAAGCACTTCAGTGTTCTCATCTCCCTTGTTTTCCAGAAGACATCACAAACACAAAAATGAAGGCCATTTAAAGAAATTTCAACAAGAATTGTAGGTATTTCATTGGCTACTATGGCAGCAATGTATCTAGAAAACAGTCTAACCAGATCTTCCCATGGTTTTGTCTGCTCTGTGTGGAAAAGAAAGGAAAATTCTCAACAGGGTGAAAGCTGCCTAAGTCCCACAGACTTTCAGCACAGGAGAATTTAGATCTTTTTGTGCTCTCCACAGTCTCCACAGGAAGAAGCTGGGCACCTTAAATGACTGTTCCTCAAGGCTGGGAAAAGATATTTGCTATTGATTAAAAAAAATAAAATTAAAAAATAAAGTTTTTATCCTGATGGCTCATTTGTGGATTTAGAGGTGAGGTGTAGTACATCACTGAGAGGTCCAAGCCAACACACTGTGAAAAGGATATATCTCTTGAACATTTTCCATGAATGTTGATACTATGACATCAATGGTTCTTTTAAAACCCTGTAACTGCTCCTTAACAGAGGGGAAAAAGAGGAAATATCACAATGAAAACTTGCATAAACATAACAGGGAGTCAGGGAGTCTAGGAGGAATCTACAATTTATTGTAATTTGGACTCACTGCTGTTATTAGCATAGTCAGAAACTAAACTGCCTCGAGCATTTAAAGTGCTTTCAAAGTGCTGCAAGATTTTCTTTCCTCCTTCAGGGACAGAAAATCAGGATCGGTTTATTGGAGAGAAGTTGACTGAATGATGCTTTTACCAAGTGTCTGGGGCAAGCCAGCTGATCCTTCCTTACCCTCACCTAAGGAATGCCTGGAGAGGGCTGTATTCCCACCCCCTGCCATGTCTCCTTGTCTGTGTGAAGAGCCTCTTGTCAGAAGCATAACCACTGCCTGGGCTTATTGCAGCTTTTGGGTTAGTCTTCAGAAATTAAAATTGCTGCTGCCTATTCCCTCCCTCGGAAATGGCTGATGGAGAATCTGTGAAGTGTTGCACTTAAATGTCTTGATACCCAAATCCTGCACATCCAGGAAGGCACACAGGGGGAAGTGCTTCTGCTCATCCCATCAGGGACCACAGATAGTGAGGGCCAACTCAGGAAACACTAAAAGGCACAATCCTGATGCGCTGAGGATCCATTCTGAGCTGCTGATTTCTGCCATCCACACTCCCAAAAGTAAACTGCTGCCTCTGCTTGCACACAGGCCACAGCTCCTGCCTGTTCATTTTTAAACAGATTACTTGGGTTTTCTTCCTTAAATGAAGATGCACATTAGCAGCCCTGCCCTAGTTTTTGAGGAAAAGTCTGGGGAGCAAAAGGCAGCTATTATGCAAGCAAATGCAGTAACCTGAGCAGGAATGTGTGTAATTTTATTCATAGCAAAGATCAGCTTCAAAGAATTACACCTCTAGAATCCCAAATGCACACCCCATGCTATGCAGTGACTTGTGCAGACCTATAAAATGACTGCACAACCTCCCTTTCTCTGAAGTGTGGGAAATCAGCTTGGGGAGATGGGAAGGACATACAGTGTTCTGCTCTGAGAAACAGAAATCTGTTGTAAGGTGTGCAGGGCCTGATTTCACCCATATCAACTTTGAGCAGAGGAAGAATAAGATGGAGACAAAACTTTAGCCTGAGTGAAGTCCCGTGCTCCCCTCTTTGTGGAATGAGCTGCTAAACAGGGGTGCAGGAATAGAAAAGTGACCCCCTCCGTGTTCTGGCTGTG